TAGTCCTTGAACCCTATTCCTTCCTTCAACATTCCGTACACTTCTAGACCCTCCTTATCCTTGGATTCTTTAGATTCTGTTCTCTCTCAGTACAAGCAACAGATATCTTCTCCTTGAACCCCTGTAGACCCTCCGTTTCCAGCGTTTCATCTTCGTCGATGTCGAGCCCCTTCCATACGTCTTCTACAACCTTGACAAATTCCGTGGGTCGTCTACCCCTCTTTTTGTTTACCCACATGGCCAGTGTGCACGGTTGTACGGGGGCGTTGTGAAACCTCCGGCCAACCAGGGGTTATTACATGGGATAACGTGGGGGGGTTACAGGCCGAGCGGGCATAACGTACCGGGTTATGAAAGCGGTCATGCGCGGATTGGTGTGTAGGAGGAAAACGAAAAATATATGTGTGAGCCTTCCCCTCCCTTGCTACATTGTGTTCCACTCTACTGTGTGTTGGGTCTGTTACTCGATACATCGGCAGACAACATTACTCCCTTTCAGGATGATCGGTGAAGAAAACATAACGCGTTGTGTATCGAACCAGCAACTAATACCTGTCGAAAAAGGTTGTTGTCCGCTACGCTACATGTTGAAGCATATCTAGAGTAGATGTCCCTATTAAGCCCCACTTAAGCCACCCTGTGCGGAAAAAGCTGGTACTTCGTGAAAAGGTCGAACTAGAGTACAATCGAGGTATTGAACGACAGCCAACATCAATATCTGAGTGTAGAAAAAATTTTTGAAAACAAATAAGTTTGTGTGCTGTTAGAGTCAGTACAATACATGGCTCCTCAACGCTGAAAAAACGGAAAATACCACCCCCCGCCAATTGAGCCCCACTTTGCGTTAGAGCCACATTGTGCGCGTTAAACAACGTTTCAGGACATGATACTTGGTGTCATGGTCAATCACCTTATGAATATGAGTCGTAGCAAAAAGAAAAAAACCCAATGTATGCGGGGATTACTAAAACGCACGGTTGACATACACTACAGTAGCACATGTCCCCTCCCCTTTCCCCGGCGCTCACTGTGTTACGGTACGCTCGAAGTCACTCGAGTTATAGCAAGAGGGACGGCGGCATGAGGTGTGTGTTGGGGATGAAACAGAAACCTAGACGGGTATGGCTGTGTGTCGCACTCTAGCGCAAGCGTTCGTGTGTTCGTATGCGGCTGCGCCTCTTTTCTGATGTGATTTATTCTCTATCGCCGCCAGATGTAGCCGCAGTCTAGTCTCTTCGCCCTTTGCCGATACCCCCTGGCTTACAATGATGTCGTCCGCCTCCTCTGTAGAAAAAGTAGACAGACCTAGCGAGAGCGGTACCAGGTGCGCCCCGACCACCTTCTCTACGCTCAACGCCACCTCGGCTACGTACCTTTCCTGGTCCAACATCTCTGTTTTGCAGGTAGCACTCCACAAGGCACCAAGACAACGAAGGTGATTGCGGAGAGCGGACAGAAAGTGGTTGGAGCGATGCGTTCAAACTCGAGAGAAAACGTGACGGTGGTGGTCACCATCAGCGCGGCGGGTGCCACCCTCGCCCCGTGGATCGTCTACAAAGGGCAGCGTCTGCAAACGGACTGGGTCAAAGGCAGAAACGGCCCTCCGAACGCGAGACTGGCAGTCACCGATTCCTCGTTCATGCAGGGGACCGTATTCGTCAACTACATTCGCGACTTTCACCGGCAGCTTCTCGACCGCGGCCTGATCAACGGCACGCCACACGTGCTCGTACTTGATGGCCACGCCTCGCATGTTACCTACGAAGTTGTCAAATTGGCCAGGGACCTAAACATCGTCCTTTACCAGATACCGTCCCACTCATCTCATGTTGTTCAGCCCTTGGACGTCGGGTCGTTCGGGTCATTCAAGCGGGAAATCACCAAGGTTCTCTCGGCCTTCCCGGCACGAAACGGCGGAAGGGTGCCCGCGAAGAGCGACATGTTGGGCATTCTTGGGGATGCTTGGTTGCGGAGCTTTTCCGAGGAACGGAACACATCATCCTTTGCAGGGGCAGGCCTTTGGCCGGTGGACGGGGAGCGGGCGATGGGTCGACTTCAAGGTGTAGGGAAGAGGAAGGAACGATCAGGTGCCCGCCCGCCCCGTCGAAGACATCACAGTGGCGATTTCCGACAAGGATTTTGCCGACAACCTCGGCCCACGAACGGTTCGCGAGCTGCAGCAAAAGGGCCAGTGCGTCAAGGGCATCCTTATCAACACGGTCATGCTCAGAGCCTTCGTCAAGGCGAAAAAGAAGCAGAAGAAGCTCGCCATCACCCGCAAGTCGCAAGGTCTCCCGGAAGGAGGGGTTATCACGTGCGATGACGTCATGCAAAAATACCTCGAGGACGAACGCCAGAAGGTGGAGGCCAAGGAAGCTCTGAAAGAAAAAAGAATGGCACGGGAGATCAAGAGGGCAGCGAGGGAGGATGCGAGCTTGGAACAGAGGACAAACCGCGCAGGGCGTGGGCATGGGCGGGGAGGAGGGCGAGGCGACACAAGGGGTGAAGGCTCTGGTGGGCGGGGAAAGGGACCGGACGGAGGCAGAGGGGGGCGGGGGCGGGTTTTGAACCAACTTTTTGGACGGAAAAACACCCCAAGTATCGCTTGCTGAGGGGCCCCGTGACCATGAATCGGGGTAGGGCCAAAGAAATTGTTTAGGATTGAGTTGGTACTGGTTTACAACGACTTCACAAAAAAATCGCGACATGAAACGGTAGTTTGCACGCCATTTTGATCGATAAGAAGCGGGTGCATTTTCCGGTGTTCGCGTCCGTCTACGGCAACCCCCAGTCCCGATATGCACGACGCTGCATCTTCTGTTTTTCTCTACTTCGCTTTCACCCCATGATTCGCCGTTTGACACAGACCTCGACACTAAAGCAAGGAGCAAGTAAATACAAACGGGGGGGAGGAGTCCCCAACCGGGGACAGAGTGGTCACATCCCCGGGTTTTCCAGTCAGAAACTGATTCAAACCGCTAGAACGGTACAGCGTGGCCTCGTACAATCGCAGAACTGCTCGACGCTCCAAAAAAAAACTCCAACCACTTGATTGCCGACTTCTTGCCAATTCCAAGGGCGAGTCTACAGCGGTAGTGGAATAGATCTTGCAGGGGTGTGTGGGTTGCAGAGGGCGGATCCAACGATCCACACTGAAAAAGAATATCGGCACAACTCCGCCTGCTGCTAGCAAGTTGCCGCGCAGCTGCACCGCGCACTACAGCACTGCTGTAGCCCTTGCCTAATGCTTAGATCCATCAGCAACACCCTTCTATATGGACCTCACCTGTCTCATCTGTGTTCCACAGGTGATCGGCAGGGATCTTTTCCTTGTCAACGAACTC